CTCCGGAAGGATTTCTTTGAACCAGAAAAGTTTATTTAAGTACTGACAGAATGGATTCTTTGTATTCCTTCGGATCGTTTGTAAAAGGGGGCAGAGACAAGTGGAGCGGTTATCGTGAACATGGCCAAAGGCCAAATGCCGGCTCTACCCTCCTTAAAACCAGCTGGTCCTCCACAACTGCGCGTCGATAAATATCAGCAAAATGTATGCATGTTAGGAGGAAACGTGGCTTCAAACCTCCATAACTACGATTGGGACTCGAATGCGTGGTACATCTCAAACAGCTGTCAACTATTGCCGGGCTATCATCCCTTTCATCCCGATGTGAATGGTTTTCAACGATTTTAACAAATCTTACAAGGATTTTTTGAGTGTTCTATCTGATAGAGCCAATATTTCCTAACACCTACCCGAAACTGATGTAGTCCAAGAAAGAGCAGATAGTGAGCTCGGCGCGTTTGATCACATCGAATTGACCGCAAACCTTCAGGCCGCCTTTGTAAAGGGGATTGGTGAGCTGAAAAAGTTATAATAGATATTCTGTTAAACCGGCTGATAAGATATCGCTTACAGTAAATGGTTCCTGAACGGTTCGCAATTCGCGGTGTGTTGTGGTGAAGCCGCCAGCGATGGTGCTACGATATTTCTCGTCCTTGAAATAGCAGGTGACCTCCAGCTGCCTGCAAAAGGAAAGCTCCAATGGCTGAGACTGCGTCGTAGCTGGGAAGACCTTTCAAGTGACCGTGTCGAAAATATCGAAATTATTTGTGAAAGATAACCTTGATGCTTCATCACTGATCTCCTGGCAAGATAATGTGCACGCCTTCCAAACCACTCGAGAAGCATTCTTCAACATTTCACTTTTGTAGAGCACCGTTTTCTCACCATCTGCCTCCGTTCGGACCACTTCGAACGAGAGCTGAAGGAATACTGGTTCCTTTAATAGTCCGCCTTTTTTGAAACCTGGGCATTTTGGCCATGACAAAATAAATAAACAAAATAAACAACTGGTTCCTTTGTTTGCATGAGAATGTCCAAAAGAAAACAAAACGACAGAAGATGTGCTGTTGGTTTTTTAAAATATGAAAGTTTCCTTTACGCCCACGACAAATGCGAATTCCATGCTCATGTCATTGGGTGTCGAGTACTGTAAATTCGTGCTAATCATAAGATCGCAGAGAGAGATCCATGAGAAATTCCTGCGAAAATATTTTTGAAAGGTGGCAGAAATCATTCGAGGTTTAACGCAGAGTTAACCGTGTGGGCCAAAAGGTGGAAAGGAGAGGTCGCAGTTTTGAAGGTGAAGGCGTAGTTAGTAAAGGCGTCGGAAGGAAGGTCGTCTTTGACGGGTTTCGTGACAACTATGGGAAAAACATCGTGAAAGAAGTTAAAAGTAGTATAAGGATTCTATAGGACTTTCTGATCGTTTAGACAAATTATCCTCCCCCCTCCTACCTCCTAGACGACCGTATAGGAGGGAAAATTTGAGCAGAGTTGGGCTTCGTCGACTGGTCTCAAATTAAGAATCAAATACTAGAAACAGCCGTGATCGTGAGCGTATTGCGGAGGGAAGGCTTGGGTTCATATAGTGATTCTCGCAAAGGAAGGATGTCGTAAAATTTTCGAAATCCCTAGTTGGGCGGCGTGCAAAGAGTTCTTCATTTCGAAACTCAAAATAGGTGCTCGACCATATCCCGAAACCTACAGACAAACTCGGGCTTGCTTTTGTTTGAAAAGGTGTGAAATTTTGGGATGACGGGATGACGGGGG